ACCAGTAGTAAAAATTATGTTTAGTAGATCTGGTAAATAAAACTTTGCTGCTTCATTGTTCTGTTTGCACTGATGCTGCAATGATATGTCTGTGAAAATACGCCAGTGGAACCGACGGGTTCTGACATCCAGCTCTCTATGAAGGCTTTCTGCAGCTCTTGGTGACTTTTTGTGATGGAATTGCTGATTGTCAGATGGGGATGTTGCCTCTGACATCGTTGGAGCGTACAGAGTCTCTCTCCTGTATAAACACCTTCGATCGTTTCTTTTTACACGTCCTGTTTCTTCTGCGATGCTGAGCATAAAAAGCTGACTCAGCTGCACTGGTAGAGATGTTAGTTCAGCTCTTTTAGCTGCCAGACAGTAGAAAATCTGTTGTGTTTAAAATCTCCCAGTAGAAAAACAGAAGTAAGCATTTTGCAATTATCAAAAAGAAATACGAAGATGTCTTATTTTGAAAATGAACTTTTGTCAGAGGCAAAGAGGCCTGCAGCTGTAGATTATCTTAGTGATTGTTATAGTCTTTAAACACACTAATAATTCAATTACATGAAGAGTTGTTCATTTAATTCAATAATCAAACAATCCAGACACATTGCAGACCTTCTTGAGATGTTAAACCTTTAACTCTCCAGTTTTCTAAGTCTATGTTCACACAGCAGCCTGATGTGACCAGGATCTGATCTTTTCACGACTGAACAACACAGATCAGATTTTTTCCAATGTGACCCAGGCCACTTGGCTCTGTGGTCCTGGATCTGATGTGAATCTGATCTTTTCAAATGCGACCTGTGTCTGAACGTCACTAATACTCAGCAAAGGTCACTATTCTGCATCTTGCTATGCAGAAGGGGGAAGAAAAACAACAACCATTGCGGATGTGGAGAGCAGTCTTTTTTTTCAACCATCACCTGAGGTTGGGAAAGAAATTAAAGATCAGTGGATTCGCTTCAGCACTACCATCCATATTTACTTCCATAAACACCGAGCTGCTCGCTACTTGTGACGTCATCACTCCCTCTACTGTGCATGCAGGCGCACTTAAGTTGTGTCTCATGAAAGTATAATTTACAAAAACTTAGTCCAATACATCGCAAGATTAATTTCAACATTTTAAACAAGGTGGAAAAGTAAGCCATTGTATTATATCAGTCTAAATAAAATAACCTCACTTCCTGCGGAGGATTTTATAGAAAGAGGTAAAGAGTGTGAAAGATGAAACAATGACAAAAAAAAAAAAAAAACAGTATAAAATAATTATAAAGTATGGCTGTCGTAGGAGAGTGGATTTTACATAGTTTTTTATATATGTTATATGTTATATCGATCCAGTCGTTTAAAGTTGGTTTGTCATGTTTGTCATTTGCCATTTTCCTGTGATGTTTTTCCTACATGCTGTCAATATTATCAAATATTAATTTCTTTTTTAAGCTCCTTGAGGAATTATTTCAAAATACATAAGCTTGATCTCCAGGAAGAGAAATGTTCCGTTTAAAAATATCTTGTAAGGCATTATTTATTTTTTTCCAGTAGTCTTTTATAATTGGGCAGTCCCAGAAGACATGATAATGTTTTGCATTTTGATTTCTGCATTTTCTCTTCTCATAGTGGTATTTCTGAGCAGGTGTCATAAGGAATCTCAACAGATTTTTCCATCCAAATTCTTGAATATCTATGCTTCTTTTTCTATGTCTGCTTCTGTCTCCTTGAACCCCAGTGGGCCTCAGCAGATGGCCGCTCACACTGAGCCTGGTTCTGCTGGAGGT